TGTATCATATTATGTCATTTTTTTTAATTATAATTAATTTTCTTCTTTAACTATAACATTATTTTAGTTATAACTCGTAAAATCTTTAATTATGTCTCATATTGTGTTTAGTTATAACATTTTCTTTTAATTATGATTCAGAAAGTATAAAATTATGTCATTTTTCTCTTTTAATTATAAGGTGCATATGTTACACTCTTTGAAGGGTGTGTACCATAGTGTTTTCCAATCCTCTGTCATATATTTCTCTGCAATGATATTTAACAATTTGAATTTAAAATTGAAACAAAATGATTGTTTAAAGTATGTCAAATTTTTTATTAAAAAAAATATGGTATTTTGATATTATTTTACTTTAATTTTAAATTTAACCCGTTAAATTATATATTTTATTGACTTATCTTATTATGATAAACAATACAATTAAGTGGTCATACACATTAGATGGTGAGACCTACTACTGAAATACTTATTCGTTTGGTTTGAAATTTTTAAAAATAGTTTATGAATTTTCAATTCGTATTTTTTTTTTGTTTCTAGTACATTTTTTTAACACTTGAATCAATTTATTTATTTATTTTTTAGATCTACTTATTCTAGATACAATTAAAAAGTACAAAATTTGTATTTTTCTTAAAAAAAATATTATATACAATAAATAAGAAAATATACAACTTTTCTGTATTTAATGAAATTTTGAAATATTGTTGCGCAAATTTTATCTTTTTAAAGTGTATCTAAATTAAATGAATCTAAAATCTTAAAAAAAAAAATTGAAAATTCAAAAAAATACAGATAAAAAATTCAAAAGATTATTTTTAAAAATTCCAAGCCAAACAGATTATATATTTTTTTGGTAATTAATTATGTGACAATTAATATTATTTTTAATTAATCCTTTAAGTGACACAATGATTAGCAAAAAGTTGGCACATGTCAGCCAATTTAATTGACTGCTTCTGAGGATTTAAATAATCATTCCTTTTCATTTTTTAAATTTTTTATAATTTAATATCATGACATTACAGCTAAAAGTCCACTATACACACCATCATGCATTGTAGTTGTTGTTACTTGCATGTGGGGAGCACGTGATGCTGCTCAAAGGTGGAGAAGGCTGCACGCAAGTTGAAGAGCTCATCCATGCCGGTGGCAGCAGCTGGCGGAGCTGGGCTGCCAGGCGGCGGCCGGTGGTGGTGCCATTGGTCGGTTAATATTCGATCCACTTATCACCGAATTTTCAATTATTTTTTTGTTTATAAAAAAAATTGATACACAAGAAATTAAAAATCAATTAATTAATCCGTCCAGTCATAACTTTTGTAACTTATTAGAAGATGAGTAGCTTGAATTTCTTCACTTTATTCGTTAAAATAAATATTTTAAAATCTGTTAAGTCTCAAGTCAAATTTGAATAATTTATTTAGTACTATTTAGTTCAATTCATTTATGTGCACAATAAAAAAATGAGATATTTGAGCGTACCTTCATAATTAATTTGATTAAAACTCATTTATCATTAGCTTAAAATATAAATAAATTAAATTTTAATATGTTTTTGGGTGATTGATCCATAAATCCCAAAAAGTGAACTTATGAATCAAGCAATCCTAAATTTATTTTAATGAATAAGGAAGTCCCATTGAAAAGGATTGACTCATTTACCCATGTATCTTGCTATTGTTTGTAACAATATTGTTGTTATCTAAAATGTAGTCCTTCCATTCCAGCCACGTAAGTAAAAAGTGCATAATAGAGTTTTTAATTTTTTTTCCAAATGTGGCATATGATACTCCAACGTGGCAAATATAATGTGATATTATAAAAAAAAGTTTAGTGCATTTTTTTTCAAATGTGACAACGTAACGAGTATGATGTGACACTCTAAAAAAAATTAAAAACTCTTTAGTGTACTTTTTTCAAATGCGGCAACATGGCGGGTATGATGTAGCATTTCAAAAAAAAATAAAAACTCCTTAGTGTACTTTTCTCAAACGTGACAACATAACGGGTATGATGTAACACTCTAAAAAAAATTAAAAACTCCTTAGTGTACTTTTCCTAAACGTGATTAGTATGATGTGACACTTAAAAAAAAATTAAAAACTCTTTAGTGTATTTTTCTGAAATGTAACACTCTAACGTGAAATGGTGTTACACTAAAAAACTCCAAAAAACTCCTTAGTGTATTTTTCTTGAATGTGACAACGTGATGGGTATAATATGACAATTCAAAAAAAATAAAAATTCCTTAGTATACTTTTCCCAAACGTGACAACTTGACCGATATGATGTGACATTTCAAAAAAATTAAAATTCTTTAGTATACTTTTTTCAAACATGACATATGACATTTCAACGTGACAGATATGATGTGACATTATAAAAAAATTAAAAACTCTTTATTGTATTTTTCTCAAATATGACACTCTAACGTGAAAGGTATGGTGTTACGTTAAAAAACTTTTTAGTGTACTTTTTTTTTTTTTTTTTTTTTCCTAAATGTAACACTCTAATGTGACGGACAAATGAGTTATTACACATCCAAAAAAATTAAATAAATAATAAAAAAAATATAAGACTATATAAATGACAAATTCAAAATATGAAACTTATTGATCAATCACCCTATATTATTTACACCCCGCCTCCAGAAAGATTTTGTCCATATCAATTATTTTAAAAAATGTGGACAACACCAAATGTGATTGAAGAAATTCAAAATCCCTGCTAAATTTGTCACCCCCATCAATAAAGGGGCAAAAATTGTCACCCCATCAATAAAGGGGCAGAATCGTCACCAAAATCCATACCACGATTCCCTAATGGTGTGTTTGGTTGGAGGATTTGAGGAGGGATTTGGAAAGGGAAATGGAAAAGGTAAGTGAAATGTGAATAAAACATGCCTAAATTTCACCTAGTTTCACACACCTTTTCCTTTTCTCTTTCCAAATCCCTTCCCAAATCTCCAAACCAAACACAACATAAAGGACCTGTTAGATCACATTCCCCCATAATAGGACTTCATAGTTCATTAATAAAAACGGGAGACCATTCAGATCAACACTCTCCTAAATGGGACTTTTCAAATCCAGTTAAATTTTTAATTTTTAAACCAAATTTAAAAACAACCTACTATTCATATCCAATTGACTCATTTACAATCTTATTGTTGATATATGGTGATTTTGTTCACTAATTCATTGCTATTGTGTAGAAGTCATTGAGCCTTTGCAACAAAAAATTATTTCATATCAGACGTGATAATACCATTCATTAATCAATGAGTCCGATAATACCATTCATTGATCAATATGAGCAATTTGTGAATAGCCTTCTTGTTCATTTTATCTATGAAACGGAGATAATCATAATCTCAATTTGGCATAAATATATATAAATTTAGCCGAAGTTTGACATATTGTAAAAAAATTAAAAAGTAAAAAAATTACTTAAAAAGTTAAAAAGTTAACAATATTCACCAAAAGTCAATAATTACAGCTGCACAACTCCCAATCCTAATTTTTCCTTACAAATCAATTTTTACAATTTTTTATTACACATTTTTTCATAAAAAGTCAAAAAGTTAACCCAAACATCCATATTTTCTTCCTCAATTTTTTAGTCCAAAAAGACAAAAAGTGCACTTATAAATTGCAAAATCAACCGATTAATCCGTCTAGTCAAAACTTTCGTAACTTATTAGGAGATAAGTAGCTCAAATTTCTTCACTTATCCGTTAAAATATTTTGAAATCTGTTAAGTTTCAAGTCAAATTTGAATAATTTACTTAATACTATTTAATTCAATTCATTTATGTTGAAAAAATGAGATATTTGAGCCTCCGTTTGGGAAGTGGGTTCACTTTTTGACTTTTTAGCTATTTTAGCTTGAGACTAAAAAACCTGATTTGACTTTTTGACTTTTTTTATGAGAGAAGAATCTAATGATTATGAGTTGAATTTGATGTTTTATTTTTTGTAACTAAAATAACCTATTTTGTATTTTGTGACTATATTAGCCCTTACCCCACCAAAACCAACTTCCCAAACTATGCTTGAGTCTACCTTCATAATTAATTTGATTAAAACTCATTTATCATTAGCTCAAAACATAAATAAATTAAATTTTAATATATTTTAAATCCAGTTAAATTTTTAATTTTTAAACCAAATTAAATACAACCTACTATTCATCTCCAATTGACTCATTTACAATCTTATTGTTGATCATAATCTCAATTTGGCATAAATATATAGATTTAATTTTTTCCCTCTTTTTATATTTTTTTCTTCATTAAATCCAAACATAATTTAGGCAAAACAAGGCCACAATCTTAACCAATGCTTGCGACTTTGCCAGTTGAAGATTAAGATTAGGGTAAGTTACACTAATCGTCCTTCAAATTTTAAAAATATATATCATAAACTTTATAAGCTTAATATAATTATACCAATAGTGACAAATAATGTATAGACATAATGATAATGAAAAAATAAAATAAAATGACAGTATTTATATTTTCATCCACACTTCACAAAACAGCATGAGACAAACACATGAACTTCTACACAAAATAACATATTATAGTGAGGTGACAAAAATTAGAAAATCCGTTTTGAAATGATTTACAAACATGTTCCCCATGGATCCATGAAGAACTGAATTGAAATATTAAACCAACTTCTTAAAACATACAATCCAAGAATAGGGACATACCAAGATTTGGGTATTTTCAACTCTCTACAATGAATAAAAAACTCTGTAAAACAATGGTAGTACAGAACAGATCATGAGGATAAGAATTTGGCTTTTTATGAAAAAATATGTAAAAAATGTGAGAAATAATTTGACTCCAAATAGGTTAAAAACTGCGAAGTGACTTTTAACTCACTTCCAAAAGAGGCCACAGGCAACTCCAGTGGTTGTGCTCGGTAACTTTGCCAAAATTCTTGATTTCTGTTTACAAAATTCACAAAACATGTTAATGCTTTTTGTAGTGACACAAAAACAAATAACCTGTTTAGTACAAATATTTTCAAAGAACGTAGCAACAAAAACAAAAAAAACTTGTTTTTCAAAACGAGAGAAAACACATTTGCTTCATGTTTCCTAATTTTGAAAATTGTTACCATTTTTCAACAAACATAACCAAAATGTTTCATTCCCATCTCAATTTGTTCATTGATCAGGCCAATGATTCTCTTCTCAAAGTAACATGGAGAGGTCTTTTTCTTTCTTGGTCTTGCGGTGCACTCATTTCTGGTTTGAGAATGAAAGACACCACTCAGCTTGACTTGAGACTAAAATTCCTCACAGCTCGCACCAATAAGAGCACTCACCATCTGGGTATTGACTCAATAGAGCAGACCAGCTGGTCCTGCATCTCTCTACAAGGGCTCATTTTCAAAGGTTTGAAAATGAATATCCTCATTGTCCTGAAAGGAACCGATCTGGCATGTAAAAGAAGTTGGAATGTAAATACTCAATCTGACTGATACAAATTCATACATAGCAGTAGAACATAGACAAAAAGATTACCGAAAGATAGAAGCCCTATTGAGAGATACAAATTCATACATAGCAATAGTACATACACAGATTACCAAGAGATAGAAGCTCTATTCAGAGAGAGAGAGAGAGAGAGAACGAGAGAGAGAGATGATTGTTTTTTTGGGATTCAATCTATAAAGACTACTCTAAACCTATCTGATCTTTTAATTGATAGTGGTTGGTGAAAATTCATTAGGTATCAAGTCTGGACTTCAGATCAGTGAGATTTCAAGAATTTCACATGGTCCATGGTTATAGAAGTCATAGAGATAACCAAATTGTTTTGATAAGTTTATACTATTTATCCTACAAAAATTAGTTTCAGGGAGAAGGAAAAGGATAAGAAACATATATAACCTTTGAAATCTCGTAAATATTAAATCTCGCAAGAAAATAAAAACTGTTTTCTTTTCTCGTACATGAGTTCAGTAACAGTTGTTGCAGAAAAATATAGGACTTTTCTTGACAGAAACACTTTCCCACAAATCTTAAGACTATGCATTGCAGTGAAGGTATAATTGTTTTTATGCATAAACTTTATTGTAAACTGAACAATTAATGGGAAAATATATCATTTTTATTTTCTTTTCCTTTCCTTTAATCCATTTTCTTGGAAAACATTTTCCTGCACAACATTGGTGACAACTGATCTGAGCCAGCCAATGCAATTCACATTTCAACCATATCCTCTAATTGATTCATAAAAAGATCAAAATTCATACGAAATGTGTGCAATGTGTTTTAGTCAATTACCTATTGTTGACATTCACTGGCTTTGGCAAAGGCAGAGCTTAGGTTGCAGTGGAGAGATGGTTGAGAGAATCTGGGGAATTTCCAGAGACTTGGACATTATCATTGGAGCAGCCGCCACTTGTCAGCTCCCCGTTACCAGAATCTGGCCCGACCCCATGAAATGATTCTCCGGAAACCAATGCTTGAAGCAGCTTTGGAGGTGGTGGGACATTCACTTCCACCACCCCTTCCAACATTTTCACCACCATCCCCATTGTAGGCCTCATTGCCTCCTCGTCTTGTATACACCAAACTGCCACCAACCCCAACCGCTCAGCCTCCACCGTGTCATAAGCACTGGCAAGCCTCTCATCCACCACGGCCGCCATGTTTCCCTCAATTATCTGATGAGCCGCCCATGGTGGGAAAAACCACTTCTCCCCGGATCCACCGCCTCCAGCTGACGGTGGCCCCTCTACGTTGCGCCTTCCACCTATTAACTCCAACAATGTCATTCCATAGCTATATACATCAGCCTTGGCAGTGATTGCCACACCAGAGATCCACTCTGGCGCAACATAACCCCATGTACCTCTCATGGTGGCTAAAACACGGCTAAAATCTCTACCAATGAGCTTTGCCAATCCAAAATCCGACACCTTGGGGGAAAAATTTTCATCTAATAGAATGTTCTCAGGCTTAATGTCACAATGTATGATACAATCTCGACACTCCTCATGTAGATACGCAATACCTCGCGCTGTCTCAACCGCTACCCGAAACCTAACATCCCATCTCATATTCCGACCATCCCGCCTCAAATACACACTCAAAGGACCATTTGGCATGTAATCATACACTAATAGCCTATGGGAATTCTCTGAACAAAACCCTCTTAATCTCACAAGATTCACATGTTGAATGTTCCCAATTGTGCACACCTCTGCCCTAAACTCTCTCTCTGCACCGCCCGGTCGTTCTAGCCTCTTCACTGCCACTGATGACGAATCCGACAATTCGCCACGGAAAACAGCCCCAAATCCACCGTGCCCTAATTTCTCTGAGAACCCCCTAGTAGCAACATTAAGCTCTTTGTATGAAAAAACCTTCAAATTTGTCACCGGGAAAATCGCTTCTTCTTCTTCAATCTCTCTCCTAATCCTTCTATTTCTCATAAACAACAATGTCAACAACATCAAAGTTATAATCACTATAGAACCACACAATGTAACTATCAAAACTAGGGTTTTAGTTTTGTCCATGTTCTTCTTCTTCTTCTTCTCCTCCTCCTCAATTACACCTCCTTTTGGAACCCTAACATATAATATGTCATCAATGGTGGAATCAGAACTCAAATTTCGAAGATTCAACAGAGACCCATATAGATTCTTACATGAATTAGTCCTCGAATTGTAATACAATCCAATACAAGAACAATTACTCAAACACAATCTCTCACACATACCTCTGTTTCCTGGAACAGACTCTGTTTCAGCTCCATCAAAACTCACTGCCCCAACCTCCTCAAACCCATCATCGCGGCCATTACCACCATCGCCGCCGCAGATGGCGGCGCTGTCACGGCGGCAACCACCGGAAAAGTCTCCGGCGAACCATTCTCCGGCCTCGGAGGGTTGAAAATTGGGTAAACACTGGCAAGGATTCAGTGATTTGGGGTTGCAAAATCCGAGATTTCCACATTTCCGGTACACTTTACAGAGATTTTCGGGCTGGGACCAAAATGGGTTCCAATACTCCGCCTGGGACGACCAAGTAAACTGGCGGAGCTGGCCGGTGAAGGCGAGTTGGAACCGAGTCAGCGGCGGCCGACCGCCGGTCTCCAGCGGCGACTCGGTGTAGCCGAAAGAAGCTGAGGGAGTGAATGGGTTGGTGAAACGGAACCGGTAAATGTACGGTACAGTCATCTCCGGTACACCGGAGAAAGTTGTACCGGTCCAGTTTCCGGTGGACCAGTACGGTTCAATTCCATTGAACACGAGCTCGATCTCGCCGTACTCCGGCGGTTTTAAGCGAAGCGAGTAGTTTCCCGGCGATGGATCGGTGGAGCTCCGCCAACATATTAGGGATTGATCAACGGAGAGATTCATCCCCGGGAGCCACGTGTCGGTCGGGTGATCGAAGCTCCGCCACACAACCTTGCCGGCGCCGCCGAGTAGCACCAAGTTTCCTTCCTCCGACAGCCTTACTTCCGCCGCCGCCGCCACATTTTGGGTTCCCCACACCACTTCTCCGCCGGAATCTCTCACCCCCAACTTCCCATCCGCCGTAATCACCGCCTCCGCCGCCGTGGACACCGGAGATTCTCTGTTCGCCACCCAAACGTAGGTGGGTATAGGAATCGAAGCGTACCAAATCCCCAAATACCAATTTTCTCCATTAGAGCTGAAGAACCCGAGCTCGAACGTTCTGTTTTCGCTAAGAATCGAAGCGTTTACTCTCACTACAACAGCCCCAGCACGCTCTGTTCTCAAACTGAGCTTTGGGTTTGCGTCGATGGAGGTTTTCGACATTGTTGAAGCTGAATTTGAGCTCAAAACGAGTTGGGTTGTCACTGAAAGTAGAAGAAGAGAGACGAAGAGAGGAATTGCCGGCGACATTTTTATCGGATTACAGATATTCTGAGTACCCAACTGAGCATTCTCAGTAAAACGAACTGGGTTGTCACTGAATCTCTCTCTCTTGATCGATCTCAGTCACTGACTGTGATTGAATTGAGGTTTTAGAGAGAGAAAAAGCGGGGAGTGAGGAGAGAGGAGACGGAAGTGGATATTTTTTTGGTATCTGAAAAAGCTGCAACTCACGGACAAGATAAAAGGGCAAAAGTACGGGAAATGACGAAAATAGCCTTCGATTGTGGAGAATTGATGAGAGAGACAGAGGTGTAGTATGAAGTGGTTTTGGAGGTTATTTTGGTAAATGGGAAAGATGAGAAAGTCTTTCTTTCATAACTGGGGTGGATGACAGAAGATCTTGAAGTCCACCCACAGGGTCGTCTGTTTTCAAACCAAATTCTAAAAAATTGTATAAAACGCATATTGAAATATTTAAAAAGATTTATCTCAAGAGAGTATTTTGATAAGCCGAGAATAATTTTAATTATTTGTTTTTTTAAATTTATTAAGTAAAATATTGATATAAAAACTTCAAATGATTAAACATCTATAGTTATTTATTTTTAAAAATAGAAAATAAATATAATTGCAAGATTACTTATTTATTTTTTTGTAATATAATTATAATTTAAACATATAGTTATCGATATTCGATTATCTTATTTTTTACATAAATATTTTACTCAAAAAACTTTAAAAAGTGAACAGTTCAAACCATCGAAATCGATTTTAAAATGAACTTACTTTTCAAACCAAATCCTATTTAAAAATACAAAAATTGTGTAATTATATGAAAGACTTTACAAAATAAACAGTTTAAATTATTAAAATAAGACTTAGGGTAGACTTTACAAGCCTCTTAAATTCTTTTAAGTCTAAATTTGAACTTGAAAAAAATTCAATTTTTTCAAAAATGAATTTTGTAAATTTTAAGAAAAAAATAGTACTTTGGTAAGGGGAAAAAAAAAATTGAAAACAATAAAGAAATATTAAGAAGATTAACATTTTTATTAATATTGATCTTTGTTAACGTGTATTTTCAGAGTATATATCAAGTAATTTTAAAAATAAAAAGATAAATTATACTTATCTCTCCTAAGATTTGTCTTAATTACAGATGCCTTCTTCGTAATTTCAAAAATGGCACAGACCTCCCTTACTTTTAAAAATAATAGTCAAATTCCTCATTCTCTTTAAAAGAGCCTTAACGATGTTAACTTGACAGTGGAATTGACCATAATACCCTTCAACTACATTGTGAAAAGACACAATTGACCCTTAAGGTAACAAACCCCTCTTATTCATTCCTATATATATATATATAGAGAGAGTGAGAGAGATAAAGACAGGGTCTTCTTAGCTTGGTGTGAGACTCTGGAGTGAAAAGCTTCAGTGAAGTAAAAATCCACTCTTTCAATTGGATCTCCATCTTCGCTTACCGATTCTCGAACTTGTATCAGCGATTTCACAGCCTTTTCTAGTTCAGACTATGCAAATCGTGAACAATTGAGTAGAGCTTTCAGAAGTGGTTTTGACGAATTGTGTTCCTGCAATTTCGAAGCTCCAGCAATGGCATCGTTGTTCTTTGGCAAAGGATTAGTCTTCGATTGTGGAACCAAAGATGATGAAACCCGATAATGCAACAGTTCCAATGGAGGATGGGTCGGGCTAATCCACTATTCTAACGGGTCTACTAGCCTTGAAGTCCACGGAGTGTGCCTGCAAAAAGGTCCAAATGGGGAGGTAATCCCCCGGTGGACACTCCAATGATTCGAGTTATGATAAAATAGATTGATTGTGTAGAGAGAGAAGAGGGAAATGAAGAACTTAACCTTTAATGCATCTCGGAAGCTTCTTTATATCCTTTACTCATCATTTCCTTGTCCATTCCAGACTGTCTTGTTGGTCGAAAATCTATATTCTAACTCGGATCGTTCATGGTGAGTCTGTATCTTCCGATGTGAAGGGGTTGTCACATTTAATGCTACGAGATCCTCATTAATGGCTGATGTATGGATGCAATAACTTTGCAGGATCTTTGTTTGCTTACATGGCTAGTTCCCTGCCCGACAGGTGTTTGAATGCTATTGCTCATGGTCCATCATTGGTTTCTCAAGGTTACTAGGCTTTAATATCTAGTCCGTGGACTGGGTCTTGAGTCATGGGTCGGATCCTCTTGCGGGCCTATCGGTATCAATAGTTTCCCATTCCCAAGTGCAACTTTAGTCCAACGAAGGAAATAGGAAAAGTAGAGGGAGTCCTCTAAGCCCGGGTAGGAGGCAGGGGTGGGGTGAGAGGGGGGTAGTGGAATGAAGACGAAAGACCGAGCGACTGTAGAGGAGGGGATTGAGAGGAATGACCAATCAACAGGGGCGGTCGACTGTAAGGAGGGCCGACCGCAAAAGTGGCCGAGCGGGATAACTGGCCGTGAGGAGAGCCGATCGCGAAGGTGGTCGAGCAGGATGACTGATCGTGAGGAGGGTCGATCGCGAAGGGGGCCGAGTAGGATGATCAATCGAGAGGAGGACCGACCACGAAGGTAGCCGAGCAGGATAGCGCTAGAAGGAGAGCCAAAAATTCAGTGACAGCACACGAAGCTTGAGGAGCGAGTAAGCACATGACGATGTGAAGTAAAATAAACGGGGGAGAAGAAAGAGAATTAGTGGGGAGAGAGAGGGATCGTAGCCATACACGTGGCACAATGTTAGGCTGCGGATAGGAAATACGAATCGATGGGAGGAGGTGAAGGGGCTGGTGGTGGGGATGTGGAAAAAGGCGAAGGTTTGTACTTGTTAGTCGAATTTCAAACTGGCAAATTTTAACCTCGATCCTTGGAACACAGGCAAACCCTGGGCATTTGGATTGGTGCAATTTACTTACCTTATTGCGAAGAATCAACACATTCCAGACTTTAGCTCTTACATCTCGGTGGACTTTCCCCTCTTTCATATCACCGATTTCTTCGCCCCCGCAATCAAGGCGATATACAGAAACGTGGAGGAGATGACACAAGACAAAGTGCTGGCGATGACATCGGATGCGTTTGGAGATGATGACTGAGTGGCACTAACGGAGCGATATAGAATAGAGAGGTATGAAGATAGGGTTGTGGAGCGGCCAGTGCGACTCTCTCCAGGGACAATGATAGCGACGGTCCAGCCGATTAGCCAAGTGGCGCCGAACCACTGGCTGACAAATCGATGCTAACGGTAGAGGATTTGAAGGAGCTACGAAGCAGATACCAGATTTAAGCAGAGGTAGAGTTGAGAGTACCCACGGTGAATGAGAGGGCTTCTGATGCACGACCAATGGAGTTCGCTTTGTACGAAGAAACGCTGCGGGGGGGTCTGAGGCTGTCCCTCCCACAGCTAGTGGTCGATGTGCTAAATTGCTTGAAGGTGGCCTAAGGACAACTAATGTTGAACGCGTGGAAGATTCTGTTTGCGTGCACAATCGCATGGCCACAGGTGACCGGAGGAGAAAAAATGATGGTAGATGAATTTTTCTCACGCTATAAGGCGTCAGGGCACCAGGAGACATGGGTGACCTTACAAGGCATAGTAGGAAGGGGATTGGTGGCGGGACTACCTTCGTCGATGAAGGGCTGGCGGCCAAAGTGGTTTTTTGTGTCGATAAGCGACGGAAGAGGAGTGCGCACAATTTGGAAAGTCCACACCAAGTCGTTGGAGCCAAAGTTAGACGCTGAGGCAGAGATGAGGGTCAAACAGGTGAATGAGTAGAAGGAAAATGAGGGGCTAAAGTGGGACGACCTCGTCCAGCTCTCAGCCCTGTTCGCGCTGAATTTGGGGCTGCAACTAGCCGAAGAAGATCCATCACTATAGGAGATGGAGGCAAGGAGGAAAGCTTAGGAGGCAGAGGACAAGCGAGCTTTTGCAATGGCGAATAAATATAAGGAAAAACAATTAGGCCCTGCGCCTAAGCTGGTTGCGAAGAGGTCAGTCCGACCATGCCCCAAACCCTTGGGAGAGAAGGACTTGACCGACTTTGTGCCCTTGCAAGCGCTAGTGGATCCACTGAAGGAGAGAAGCAAGAGGGAGATGTAGTTGGTGTTGAAGAAAAAGAAGAAGAAGAAGGTGGCTTCAGAGAGAAGTGGGGGAGGACCAGTGTTAAAGAAGACGAAAGAGGGGGTGGTGGAGTTGTCCCCAGAAGTAGAGGAGGGGGAGACTAGGGTTGGTGTGGAGGCGGAAGAAGGTTTGGCGAAGTTCCCAACTGGCCAAGTAGTGAACGAAGTAGACAAGCAACAAGGGTTGGTAGAAGCCAATCGGTCGGCAAACCTGTCTTCCAAGGACGTGCCCTTACAAGAAGTGCCCCCAAGTCAGGAGGTAGGGATAAAGTAGGCGAACGGAGTAGAGACGAGTGTCGCGCTGAGGACCGCCACGTATCATGTTCGCACGGTGGTCGGCTGCTTGGTGGGTGATGGAGGCGAAGCCAAGGTCGCCGCAGACCGTCTGTTGGAAGTTGTTGTGAACGCGGCCATGTGGAGTATGGCTTAATTTACGGAGGTCGACCTCATGAGAAGGTTCTTCTCAACATAGATGGAAGGAGTGGCCCTGGCGGTGGCCCTACTGGATAAGGTAGTGGGGGTAAAGGTGGAAGCGGAGCCGCTGAAGGCCCAGTTGAAAGGGGTGCGGGCACAATTGCAGAACTTAAGGGTAGAGACGGCTACCTAGAGAAAACCAGTGCAGAGCACCTGCGTAAAGGGCCTAGCCTATGCTCAGAGGGCAAAAAAGATGAAGGTATTGGTGGTGGTGCAAAGTTATTTGACTAAGCGTGCCAGGGTAGGCCAGACTGAGGTCACCTCCGAGCTATCAGTTGCCAAGTCTGAACTTGAAGTGGTGTGCCACAAGGTGGTATCACTAGAGTTTGAATTAGCGAGCGAGCAGAAGAAGATGGGCGAGGACCAAGAAGCCGCGGCATCGCCAAAGAGAGATTGGAATAGGCCCTCATAAATAATGAAGAGTTGTGCGATCAGGCCTTGAAAGACAAGAAAGAGGTAGATGCGCATGTTGCTGAGTTGGAGAGGGCCTTGGGAGAAGAAAGGGCCAAGACTACACAGTTAGCTAAGATGATGGCGTCTAAAAGGGTTGTCTATTTGGACCTGTGCACCGCGGCGGTGGAACAGATTAAGTCATCCCTTGAGTTCCAAATAGCCATTAAT